ACTGATTAGGTCATTGAATATCTCAAGACAAATCTTCCGAGTAGGATCTATTTTTATCCCTGTTTAATAGATGAGGAAGAAGTGAGGTGTTAGAGCTGGGCCTTAAGCCCTACTCTGGCTGAATCCAAAGGCTGTTTAACCATGAGGTTAAACCATTTCGTCTGAAGCCCTGCTGCTATTCACGTTCTTAATATCATAGAGCTGGAAGGGAACTTAGTTCATCTGATCACAGATTCAAACCATACTAAATCTCAAAGCCCTAGAGAATGCATCCCAGCTGTTCATTTTTTGAAAGAGACCCAGAGAGGAAAAATCACAGAGCTGGGACAATAACTCGGGCCTCTTGAATCGCAGTCCAGCTCTTGTTCTAGTTCTCTGGTTGCCATGGTCCAGAATGGACTCTCGGTCTATTTGTTTTATCAGATCACAATCTCCAGCAAATGTCTGCATAACCTAGTCAGCACCTTTCTTTTCGGGAGAGCATAGTGACCCTCCAAAAGTAGCCATGTGCCTAGGAGCTCTCCTGGACACACACAGTTTCTGATGCTCACCACAGTGACCAGACAATTGGAGGGTTCTAATCCTAATGGAATAAGAAAAGCAAAACAGTCTGGGCAACTGGAGTCCCCCAGCCTTCTCCTCGGGGTCTGAGCACTAATCTGACTTAGCGACTCCTCACATGAGCTGCATTTTTCAGCCCTAATTTAAACGGGCAGGGGTGACTGAAAATGTGTAAACGTTAAAATGTTATTATTCAAAAGCCCTTGAGATCCCCATGGATCATCATAGTAATTAAAATGCAGCACAGAAGACCCCTTGCTTCAGCAGCTCACAGGGTAAAAAGAAAATGAACACTCAGAATGAATAAAGCTAGCAAGTTGAAGGGGCTGGGAATTAGCATGCTGGTGTGTCCTCTGCAGTAGAGCAGCTGGCCTTGATGTACGGGGAGAGTAAGGAAACAGCCTCCCTGTGTCCTATTCCCTCCTGTTTCTCTCCTAAAAGGGTAGGTTGTAAGGCGTGCTGAGGGCAGTGTGGGAGGAGGTTGGAAGCTGTGTAGGTGGGAGCATGATGATTCCCGTCAGAAGGAAGGACTCAGGCCTGAAGATTTTCTTCTATGAGACCATGAGTCCCTGGGCACGAAGTTCATGTCTCTGCTTTTTCTAATGTATTTCTACTTCTCTTGAAGCCTGTCAAGGCCTTACTTCTCCTTCAATGCCCAGCTCAAAAGCTACTTCCTTTGAGAAGTCAACTGGTTCAAAATAATCACTTTCTTTTCTGCTCACTGTGGGTTTGGTTTATACTTTTCTTAAAGCATATATTAATTTTTGCCTTGAATTCTAGTTATTTCTGTATATGCTAGTCTCCTCGAATAGCTGGTAAGCCCATTGAGCAGATTCAGTGTCTTCATCTTTATATCTCGTAAGTGCCCCCTTGCAGGCAGACATTTTGTACCTGCCCGTTGAAGGAATGGGTGGTTACAGGACGGTTGTGGGGCCTGTCTCAGGTTCTCGCTTCAGCCCCCTCACCATATTACCTTCTGTCCCTTCCGTCCGCTGTCAAGAGTTGTAAGGATGGTGAAGGCAATGGATATTTGTACTTGACCTGTGCATTGTCTTTGATGATCCTTGTGACAAACCTGTGAGAACAGAGAAATAGTTGGTCTCACCTGTGAGCAAAATATTTTGTAATGGATCTTGTGTGGGGAATAATAACAATTGTTAACATCTATTGAGAGCTGGCATGTGCCAGGCATGTTTCTAAATGCTTTACATATATAATTTAATTCTCACAGCAATCCTATGAAATAAGCACTGTTAAGATCCCAAAATTATAGATGAGAATACTAGGCACAGGGAAGTTAAGTAATTTGCTCAAGATCTGGCTCTTGATCAGTACATTGTATTGTTAACACCTTGTCCCTCAGAGACCTAATATTATCCTGACTTTACCAAAGAAAGGGACCATTGAGTAGATCTTTTTCCCACCTGTTGATTTGCTAGGAAATCTAGCTTAGCCTTGGATATAGTTTTTTATGGGAAAGAGAACACCAGCTTATTAAGATCCTGAGGTTCTTAGATCTTGACAAGCTTTTCAAATACCAAGGTGTCTTTCCCAGGGAATTGCTGGGGTAAGTCATGTAATTATAAGAATCTCTTTCTGTGATTTCTTATACTTCATTAAGTATTGGTGGATTGTGGTTTCTGTAATGGGATTATGACTTTCAGAAATTCATCTGCTTCACATATTTCCTTCTTCCATAAGTTTCCATTCCTTCTTTCTGCCCACTTCTTTCCCCTTGCCATCTGTCTGGTATTGAGCTCTTGGCATCTGTCTCTCTTTCTTCATTGATGGCTCGCATGAATGGGTGGCTTTTTGACAGGGCCTTCATTGTCGGCTCCCACAGCAGCAGTCAGAACATTCTCTGTGGCCTGGGTTCTGAGTCCACCCAGGCAGTGTGAGCCATGCTGGCTCCCAGTTCTGGACTGTAGTGTTTTGCTTTTGTTGTGGGACTCCCCTTCCCCACACACACACAAAAAGCTAAATAAGAAGCTAAAGGCTGATGCAAAGGAATAGAAGTCTGTGGTCCTGTTACCAAAAACTTCTTTTTGTATTCACATGTAGTCAGAGGGACATTGCACCTTGGCCCGGCTTCTATAGGTGGCGGGCCATTAGAATATAGTCCTAGAGGTGGCAAACTTTGTAGCCTGGTTGACTCTCCCCATCAGACTCTCCTGGGAAGTGCCGTTGGCCTGAACCACATTAGATGGTCATGTGTCATCTTCTTTGTGGCCGCACCATGCAACACCACAAGGCAGCTTGGTTCAGCCTGTCAGTTGTCCTATGTGGTATTCATAGCCCTGAAGTCATGGCTTCCTGGGGCCTGAGTTAAGCTGTATGGAACTCTTATGTATGCAGCATTTCTTCTTCCCTAGAGAAATGATTCAAATTGTTCAGTGCTTATTCAGTGCTCTGGACCTGACCTTGGGGGTGTAGGGTTTATGAGTTAGGGGTGTGAAAGTCCCAAACCAGTCAAGTGTAGAAAAAGGAGATGCCAAAGTTCATACTTCTGGGCTCCTGTGGATAAGTAATCAGAGCTATAAAGTGGAGCTAATTGGCTGCCCCCTCTGCAGCCTCTGCAGACTTGCCAAAAGCTGAACAGACTGTGGAGAATGAACCATTCTTCTTGAGAGGGTGGAGTGAATGGAACCATGTCCCTGCTCAGACCTCAGGGTGACAGGCGCAGTATGAGAGCTGGTTGCTGGGATCCTTCCTTAGAGGCTGTCTTGGAGGAGCCAGCGTTGTGGGACACTAGATCATGCATGGGCAGTGAAGACTGTTTTAGTGTAAAGTGCACCCCTCCTTACCTCACTATTCTGTTGAGCTGCGGAACTGAGCTTCGAGAAGGGGCCTTGGGGCTGCAGGCAAGCTGATGAGGGAGAGTGGGTCCTGTGCAGGCAGTAACAGGAGAGGCACCCAGGCAGGGCCATGCAGCACTCCCTGAGGGGGAGAAGTTTGCCATCACAGTATGGTGGAGACTTGGAGTCTCATCACCATCATAACATAAAAGAGATTTTTTTACCATGCAGTCCAACCCACTTATTTTAGATACTGAAGTCTGGCAAGGTGAGATCATTGCTAAGGCCACACAGCTAGAGAGCAGCACAGCCAGGACCAGAGCCAGGTGTTCAGACACCTAGGTTAAAGCCTTCTGCCCCACCACCTTGGGCAAACTACTAAGGCCTGAGGGCCTTAGATTTCTCATCTGTAAAAATAGTTGAACTTGACTTTCGGTTCTAAGATTCTCTGATCTCATGAACAGTTCTTAGGAGCTTTGGGCAGACCTGGGAATCATTTGGTGTATGTACCATAGATTCCACCTACAGAGAAAATAACATTGAATATTAGCTTTGGGATATGAGTTAGTACTGGACAGAGGGTTGGTATCTTCCCTGCTGATGTGGGTTAAAATCTCTAATGGGTCTGAGTTCATGCAGCGCTAGACTCTTGGGTGTCCCAGTGTGATACTGATGTTGGACTCTGATTTGGTCAATTATTTATGCTACTCCAGGGCAGAGGTATTTGATATCTTGGGTGAGTGTCCAGTAGTAGTTGGCCTCATGAGCCAGCAGTGTCAGATTTCTGGGATGTTAGGGAGGTCTTGATACTGCAGATGTCTCTTGGCATTGACAAATTAGACCATTTTGTTTTCAGTGGATCAACTAAGGTTAAACTTAAACAAATAGGAGCAGCTGGGAGGCTTTGGAAGGAGTGAGATATGCACATTCTCAAAAAAAAAAAAAAAGTCTGCTCCCTGAGGAAGGAAGGATGAGGCGTGGAACTCTGAATAGCCCCTTCTGAGGAAGGAAGCAGTTATTTCTCTGCTGGTTTGTTTTGCACTTTCAGTTAAGGAATTCCAGAAGTTGCAGGTTGTGGATCATGACCTCCATTTTTTTTCCCTCTGTTGTTGCTTGCCAAAGGAAGGGAGGGGGGGGTGGCTCTAAATAACACTTTGGCCTTTATGGAAATGTATCAGATGTTCCAGGAGTGAGTCTGGCTTGCTCATGCTTGCTTGCTGGCGTGCTCTCTCTCTTTCTCTCTCACTTTTACTTCGTGTTTGCTCACTCTCTCCTCACTTGTGTCCTTTCTGTAGGATATAGTTAGCACTTCTTCTCGCCTTATATAGCAAGGTCTGGTCGTTAATGTTAACAGAAATCTAACAACAGGGAAGGCTGCCAGATAGCATTAATCAGGCCAGTGTTTGGAATTTCATAAATGCTCTGACTTTGGGTACAAATTCAACATTAAGAACAGTATGAAACTGTTTTCTTCCTTCCTTTCTCTTTTTCTCTCCCTCTGCCCTCTCCCCAGCCCATTCAGCTGCTCTTTCTTTCCCTCTGGTTTTGAATTCCTCTGCTCTACTGTACACTCGCTGCATTGGAACTTTGTTGATTTTTGCCACGTTTAATTTTTTATTTCTCTGTCTCTCTGTCCACTCCAAGACCACAGGCGGAGCAGCAGCAGCCGGAGCCAGGACTCTGCGGAGGGGCAGGACGGGCAGGTCCCAGAGCAGTTCTCAGGTCTCCTCCACGGCTCCTCCCCGGTGTGTGAGGTGGGGCAGGACCCTTTTCAGCTACTCTCTGCCGCTGGCCAGAGCTGTCCAGAGGGGTCCCCTGCGCAGGGTGCCTGCCACGAGGCCAGCATGCAGCTGGAGGAGACAAGTGTGCACGCTCCTGGAGCCTCCCCGCCCAGTGTCCTGGACCAGAGTAAAAGAGTGGGCTATGCAGCAGGCCTGCCCACCACCAACAGCCAATCGCACCCTGAAACTTTGACTCACACAGCATCTTCACACCCTGGTGGTGCCGAGGAAGAAGGAGGCCGGAGTGGGGCCAGGAGCCGAGCCCCTCCCACCAGCAAACCAAAAGCTGAACTCAAACTCAGTCGCAGCTTGTCCAAGTCTGACTCTGATCTCCTGACCTGCTCACCCACGGAGGACGCTACAATGGGGAGCCGGAGCGAGTCCTTGTCCAACTGCAGCATCGGGAAGAAGAGGCTAGAAAAGTCACCCTCTTTCACCTCGGAGTGGGATGAGGTAAGGCTGCATGACGTCACAGAAAACTGGGCTGGCTGCAGCCCACTCGGCTCCCCTGTGTGCCGACTCCTGGGACCAGGATGTGGGCCAGGGTTGCCCTGGTTCCTTCACACTGCGACCAGAGTGTTTCTGACAGCTGTGAGGCAGGCAAGCCCCACGTAGGCAGAGCAGGGGATCTTACTGCCTGGATCGCAGAGGACAGGTCCATTCATGGTTAAACTGGAGGGTGGAGGCCCCAGCAGAACAGGACTGAGGGAGAGGCAGTTCCTAGAAATGACATGCTGTTTGGAAATGTTTGGATCCCATCAGCCCCATTGAGGGAGTCTTGCTCACCCTGAAGATGCTTAAGAAGAGCTGAGTACTTCCTATGATTCTTCAGGAGGAAGAGAGCAGATCCAGGGTTAGCTAGGAGGAGGGGAGGGAGGCAGTGCTTTGAGAGGAGCCACTGAAAGGGGATCAGAAGGGGGCTTTTCTGTTTCCTGCTCCTTCGTGATTATCTGTGTTCCCCTGGAAGACCAGATGCCTCTCCCAGCAGAAGCGTCCTGCTGATCCCACATTCCCGGGTTGGTGAGGCAGAGAGCTAGATGGTTCAGGAAACAAAGAGAGATTAGTGAGGAGAAAACATTCAGAGTCTGAGGCCCAGTTTCCTTTCATAACTATTGTTATAGAATGGTTGGAAATATGTACCTGAATATTTTTCAGTGACCTGTGACATGTCTTACTGGGCAGAAGAATGTGTTTCTCAAAGATTGGTAAACACCCAGGGAATGTTAAAGTGCTACTCTTGCAGGCTTCTTGCTGGGAGGAAGCTGCCTTTGAAGTGGACTGGGTCTATCTCCCAGGAATATTTTCAAGACATGAATTTAGCTCTCCAAGAGGAGGGGAACAGTACAGCTGACATGTCCATTTGAACAATCTGTAGACTAAATGCCCTACCCAACTGTATTCAGGTTGCAGCTGCAAAGTTATATAAACCAAAGCTAATCCCATTCCTACTGTGGGAACAGGGCGGGGGCAATTCCTACAGCACTCTTATCTCCAGATAAAATGAGGTTTGGGACTCTGTTTAGTCAGGGACGGAGGAATCCTGTGCAGTAGAAGATTTTCACTGTTTAGTAAATCAAGATTTGTTGACCCTGTGTTAGATGCCAGGCCCCTTAAAGAAAATCAGTGTGAGTAAGTGAGCTTCTGGCCCCCGGGAGATTACACACATGAGTATGTGTGTTTGTAGGAATGTGTGCTTTGCCTTTGGTTTTCAAAACAGAGTTTTACTAATTTGTAGACGAGTATAGGATAAGGCAGTTTACAAGTAAGATAAGTGCAATATGCTCTGAAATGGCAGGAGAGGGCAATAGAAGAAAACATCCCTGGCAGTGGGTGGGTGGAGACAGGAGGTGTGAGAGGGTGGAAAGGGGCTTCAGGAAAGATCACAGAGAAGTGGAATTTGACGTGGAATTAAAGAACCAAGTGTTTTGGTTAAAACCAGATTGAAGCTAGTGGGGTGAAGCAAGGACATTGCAGGTTGGAGAGAATAGCATGAGCAAAGGTGTGGAGTTTGCTAAAGCTTAGGTCATTTGTTTTCTGTAGAGTGTAGAGTTTGTATAGGGGAGAAAACGAAACAAGAAAGTGAGATTGGGACCAGAGCGTGAGAGGGGCTTGACCATGAGCCTGAGAAGTGAGTAGTTGACTTGCTATCAAAGCACTTTCTCAGAATCTTTCAAATGGGCTGGAAGACAGCTTTACCAATCTAATGAATTACCTCTTCTTTTTGGCTCCATCTCCTGAGCATACTCTACCTGAGAGGTCGGTAGTGCTGGGTGATTCTTCACAGATATTCATGTTCTGTTAGCATGCAGCATTGCCAGGCAGTCTTATGAGCTCCACCATTTCCTCCTGGAGGAGAAACTTGAATCACGGAGACACAGCCCGGCTTAACTGAAGTTGGCTGTTTGTGAGGGGAGGTTCACATGCTGATATTTCCTTTGCAGGTAGAGATTGCGGGTGGGTACGGTGAACCCGGGGGCTGTTCAAGGTCTAGTGTCCTGGGCCAGTCTGTAGTGTGGCTGAACCACCAGCCGCACTGTTAGATTTTAAATTTGAAAAAACTAAAGGCAACTGAGGTCTTATTGGAAAGAATTCAGAAGATCGAGCTTTGCTTGCATAGTAAACATTAACAGGGCCCTTTATGCATGACCCTTGGACATTGTTTTTGAGTTGTATTATACTTGGTTTTTGTGGATATTTCTATCTAAAGAGAAACTTCAGAAGTGTTTCCCCCAGTGCTTGGTCCTAAACCCTGGGCCTTGGCAGAATTTCCTAGAACAGGACATTAGTTAAATGGCTGCTCCCCAACCTACCCCTGACCAGTGCCTGAAGGCTGCTTTGCTGTATCTTGTGCTTGATGATTTTTTTCTTTATTGTCATTGGATCTCCAGAAGGTGGGGAAGGCTGCTTTCAGGGAGCTGGGGCCCCACTCAGCTCTTCACCATGGGGCCTGGGAGGGAGAGGAAGGCTCTGGGGGCCTGGGCAGCTGTGATCCCAGCACAGATGGAGTTGTGTGTGAGTCGGCCAGGCCTCTCCTGGAAGGCAGTGCAGGGTAGTACACAGGGCTCAGGCCCCGGAGTCAGCAGATCTGGCTTTGAGCTCCAGCTCCACCATCGGTCTGCCTGATTTGTGGTTGGCCCCAGGAAGCCTCAGTGTTATTATCCTTATTTGTGAAACAGAGGCAGTCAAGTCTGTGTTCAGAGTTGTTTTTACCAATGAGACATGTGTTTAAGTACCTAGCACAGTTCCTAGTATGCATAAAGTATCGAGTAAATGGTATATATTAATATTAGTTTTGTGCCTGGAACTTGAGAGAATGGGAACTGAGGCCTGGAGTGTCTTCAGACTTTAAGAAAGGCAGAGCTTTTGAGGGGTGGTCCGATGGTGGCAGAATGACTGGGAAGCAGTGGAGTTCAAGCCTTTCAAACCATGACTTCCTGCACAGCTCTGCCCCACCCCAGAGGCGGAAGAGCCCACCCGGCCTGGGAAAGTAGGGCAGGCACCCTCCATGGTTCTCTGAGAAATTAATGAGCCTTTCTGCCTTACTCCCCGAGAGGAGAAGAGAGGTTAGAGAGAAATCTGCAGCCTTCTCTATGTTTATTTTTCAAATGTATTCTTGCACAATAATGGCCAGCAGTGGCTGCTTGATTGGTTGATTCATTGGGATGATGTTTTATAGTTGGGAACATGCACAGCTGATAGATGAGGAGTCACTTTCCCAAATACAGACTGCTCCTCCCAGGTGGTTAATGCAGCCCTTGTTGAGTTACCAGGACAAGACAAACTTCTGCAAGTTAGCCTGGTTAAGGTAAACCTGTGAGACAGCATCCATTAGTGACACTAGAATTCTCCCTGTTTTCTATTATGTTTTTGGTAACAAAAAAGTAATAGAGTTTGCTTTTAAAAGAGCTCACCCTAAGAGAAGATCTAAATCCAAGCTTCAATAGATATTTTCTGTGTTCTCAGTCAAGTGAAAGCACTGTTTGTTGTCTTAATGATCCCTGGGGCCTAAGAGAAGGTAAACTGAGAAGTTGTATGTAAATAAAACTTTAAAAATATATAGATAAGGAGTGGGAAAATGACCTACATCTCTCTACACCTGGTTAATTTCTCTTAACGATATATGTCCAAATTTGGGGTCTTAGTGTATTTACTGATTTATACTTTGCTTTTCTTACCTAATTGCTACACATTGTGGATATGTTACCATGGCAACCTCAGTAAGACTTGGATTCAGATCTTCATTCTAAAAAGGCATAGTGTTCTGTTATATGGCTATATCATAAGGTTAGTTCGTATGTTGTTTAAACTATTCTCCAATTGTTAGACACTGTACAGGGCATTTTCCATCAGCCCTTCGGGTATGTTCCCCACCCTGCTCTACCTGCCTGTGTGCTCCAGGAGGCTGACCTGTGTGGACTGCATCACTGGGCCAAGGAAATCTTGGATTGGCTGTGTCCGCCTACTGAAGACCACCACTCCTGTGAGGGACCCTCTTCCAATAGCTGCTCTCTCTGGGTTCTGGTAACCAGTTCCTCCCCTTGACACTTCCAGCCTGGGGCTCCTGGCTGTGACTAGCTCCCATCCCTGTTACTCTCCCTGTACCCTACCCAAACCTGTATAAATAATCCCTTTATTAAGTTCCTTCCTTTGCCCAGTTTGTGCCATCTTTTTCCTGCAGGGACCCTGAGTGATACATTTTTAGCACTGTTTCTATCAACTCTAAGCAAGCAGAGATGGCTCTGTGCTGGAGCAGTAAACATGGCTCTTGCTTGTAATTGTAAATTAATCCTCATTTGCAGATGAACCAGAAGGTGTGGTTATTTAGGGTGCTGGGAAGCAGGAGAAATTCATCATTTAACTTGAAGCTTTCCCACCTCCAACTATAGGGAAGAAGCCTGTTCTCCTTTCCACTGAATTGGCAGTGTCGCCAGCATTTCAATTGTGTGCCCCTGAATTACAATCTCCTAGATGTATTTTCGTCCTCTGTCTCTGCAGTGTATGACGCAGCTATGGGTGCACACACACAGCAGCAGCAATTAACATCTGAAATAAATACCTCGTAAGAAGAACAAAAATAACTTTCTGGTCAGATTGTGGTTTGAATGTATAAAAAGTCTATTGGGTCAGATGGGTCTCGCACATACCTGCCTTTGAGTGGGATTGAAGTTTATGAAAGAGAAAACCACAGAAGGCTGCTTGTCTACTTAGCATAAACATTCGAGTCATTTAAAACATGGCTAAAGGCTTAAGTAATAAATTTGTGTTTTGTAATCCGATTTCATAAATATTAAAGTGGAAAATAGGTGAAGAGCAGGGACATGCTTTGTATGCATTTTGTACAAGCTGAGAATAATTTCTGGTCAGGGATTTGGGGAATGTCCTGGTTTCGTCTGAAATGGGGACCCTTGGCTCCTGAATCCCTTGATGGAAGTGAAGTGGCAGCAGCAGGGGGG